GAGGAAGAGATTCTGAAAGAGAGAAAAGGAGAGCACAATGGAATACATGAAAGCAGGAGAGAGGATTTTTTGGACTGAAAGGAGATCAGCAAGAGGAAGATTAAGCTCATAAAATACTCTTTCATATATTGGGTCAATAAAACATGAAACATTTAAGATCAAACTATCTGGTTAGTAGGCTACATACATTTCAACCCTGAGCTTTCTTTCTAGGGAGAGGAATCTGCTGATCCTGTTTTTCTTGTCATTAGCCACATAGGCTTTCCATTCCTTCTTGAGTCAATTTCAATGAGTGAGGTGATAAGAAGAATTTGTTCCTTCGTCCGTGTTCTTCAATAACTTGGCAACATTCCCCACAGTTTTTTTTTGTGTTGTTTACTTAATGTAAATTACATTTGCTTTTATTTTTTCATTCTTTAAATTGTTTATTGTGCTTTTTCTTTCTTTTTGAACAGGATGATCAGAGATCTGTCTATTAGTCTTTTAAAAAGAAGACATTTATTTCTCAATACTTTCTCTCCTTATTACATATGTTAATATTTTCTTTAAGCTTGTATTGTTGAACAGTTTTGTTTGTAATTGTGATGGTTTGAATGAAAATGGCTCCCATAGGCTCACAGGGAGTGGCACCATTAGGTATGGCCTTGTTGGAGGAAGTGTTGTCACTGGAGGGTGGACTTTGAGTCTTTATATGTTTAAGATAGGCCCAGTGTCACTCTCTCTTCTTGCTGCCTACTATATCTAGATATAGAACTCTTGGCTCCTTCTCTAGCACCATGTCTGCTTCCTTGTTGCCATGCTCCCAGCCATGATAATAGTAAACTAAACTTCTAAAACTGTAAGTCAGCCCTATTAAATGTTTTCCTTATTAAGAGTTGGCATGGTCATCATGTCCCTTCACAGCAATAGAAACCCTAAGACATTAATGTTGAAATTTTTTCTGAGGCAATAGACACTTTAAATTTTATTAAAGCACCACAGAATGTGGTAATACATCAATATGTCACATGGTACCCTATGGATATATACAATTTTAAGTGTACAGTTAAAATTAATTTAATTTTAAGAATGTAAGTACTCAAGATTGTACCTTTCTCTAAGGGTTCGGCAGTAGTTGTGCTGTATGAATCTAATGTAAAGAAAATTTTATTATCTTTCAGCTTTAAAATTCTAAGTGTTCTGGTCAGCCACTGTTTCTTTTAGCAGTAAGATTTCTAGAAATTTCTTTTTAATTTTTAATTGATTGTTCCAGAAATTTCAGTATGTATTTCCCCCAACTAGATTTCACTGTCCTTTTAAAAAATGAAATCTATTAAGATTTATCCATGTTCACTGTTCCAACTGACATGTCAACAATTTCCTCAAAGATTATTAGCCTCTTGCCTGAAGCTCATCTTTCAGATCTCTTCATAGTAAATTCTAATTCCTGTGCCTAGATGTATAAAGATTTCCCTTGTCTGTTTGTCTGTATTTAGAATGTGTTGCTTGATTCTGCATAGAGCTTGCCAGAGCATGAAAAGCCAAATCAGCAACCTCTGACCAATTTTATCGAGACATCACATGCCATAAAGTACTCAGTTCAAATCACACAGCTTGCTAGCTGAAGCCTAAACCAAGATAACACCTGCGCTGTCTCTACAAGTTCCTCAGGCCTCTGCATCACAGCTTTCCCACTCTCTCCCACCCTCCACACCCTAGTTGTCTTAGTTAGGGTTTCTATTGCTGTAAAGAGACACCATGAACATGGCAACTCTTATAAAGGAAAACATTTAATGGAGGTGGCAGCTTACAGTTTCAGAGGTTCAGTCCATTATCATCTTGGTGGGACCACAGCGGCATACAGGTAGACAAGGTGCTAGAGAGGTAGCTGAGAATTCTACGTCTTGCAGGAAACAAGAAGTGAACTGTTACACTGCGTGTGGCTTGAGCATATATGAGACTTCAAAGCCCACCTCTATAGTGACTCACTTCCTCCAACAAGGCCACACCTACTCCAACAAGGCCACACCTCCTAATAGTGCCACTCCTTGTAGAGGTCATTTTCTTTCAAACCACCCACACTAGGCAACACTGACCTGCGCTCTCTCACAAAAGATTAGCCTGCAATTTTCTGAAATTTTATATAAACAACTCATTCCATATCGAGTCTTCATCTGGTACTTTCATGCAAGAAAATTATTTTAAAATTCACCTATGCCGTTTCAGGTGTTAGCAGCCAGCATCTTTTATTATTGAGCTGTGTTCAGGGATCTCAGTACACTGGTGGAAAATTACATTGTTTGCAGTTTGGAGATAGTACAATTAAGGATGCTATGAACATTTTTGTTGTTGTTTTGTGGGTTTTTCTGTATCAGTATTTGTACAGATATATGCTTTTATCTCTCTTGAGTAAATATGTACAATCATTGTGGCTGGATCAGACAGTAGGACCATATGCTATATCTGGGCCTAACAGTTAAAAAATATTGCCAACTTGCTTTCCAAATTAGCTGTGCCATTTTACATACTCACTTGTGGCATATAAGGCTTCCAATATCTCCAAATCCTTAATTCTTTATGTATTAATGGTAAAGTTTAATTAACTTCAGGCTTACTCACACACAAACACTAACATACACACCCACAAGTATTGTCCAAGAATGTGTGAGCATGCATGTGCACACCACACACACATACACATGCAAAAACTCAGTTATATATTCAGAACCATTTCAAACTTCCTTTTCCCACACAATATAGCCATCTGGACTCAGTGATTAGTTCTAGAATGACCTTTAACCTCAAGTTTATTTTCTTTAATAGTTTTAGTGATATAGTTGGGAATTAACGCCATTTGTTTTGTTTCTTATAGTGATAATTCATCTACTATATTTTGTTTCCCTAAGACAGAGTTTTTTCTGCATAGCCCTGTCTGTCCTGAAACCTATTTTGTAGACAAGGCTACAAGAACTCACAGAGATCTGTCTGCCTCTGCCTCCCAAGTGCCTTTAACTTCTGGGCAGACAGAAGCAGGTGGATCTCTGTGAATTCAAGGCCAACTTGGACTACACATGGAGTTCTAAACCAGTCAGGGCTACACCGTGAGACCTTTGTCTAAAAACAAACAAACAAACAAAAACAAAAAGCAAAAACAAATAAACAAAATTTCATTGGCATTAGTTGAAATTTCCATTATTTTCTTTCTTCTGGTGCCTTTGGATTTAATATGCTCTCTGGTTTCTTAAGGGAGAGTTTGAGACCATTAATTTGAAAACTCCTTTCTGTTCTAATATAAGCATATAGCACTGTAAATTTCCTTACAAATACAAATTTTGTGGTGGCCTATAAATTTTGATATGTTTTCACTTTTGTCTGTTTTGAATCACAGATTCCTTTTGTTTTGTCTATTTGACCCTTCAATTATTTAGGAGTGTGTTATTTAGTTTTAAATATTTGTGGACATTTCAGAGATCTTTCTGTTATTAACTTATAATTTGATTTTATTGTGGTTAAGGAACATGCTGTGTGAGACTAGGCTCCTTCTAACTTTATTGAGATTTGTTTTATAGCCCAAACTGTGGTGTATCTTGGTAAACATTCTTTGGACATTTGAAAAGAATATGTATTTTGCTGTTGTTGGGTGGAGTGCTGTATAAATGCCATTTGGGTCAGGTTGGTTAATTTCATTGTTCAGGTCTTGTATCTCTTTACTGATTTTCTCTCTACTTATTCTATCCATTCTTGAGAGCAAGATAGATATTGAAACCAAATTTCTTGTTTTAGTTCACTTCTATTAATTTTACATCATGTTCTAAACTGCCCATGTTTAGTGTTATATCTTGATAAATTTTATCATGATAAAATGAATTTCTTTGTCTCTGGTAATATTTTCATGGTTTGAAATCTCACCACTCCAATTTTCTTTTGATTAGGGAAAATGTGTATCTTTTTTATCATCCTTCTCTCAATTTTCTCTTTACATATAAAAAGCATTCTCTATTGGTAGGATTTAGTTGAGTGTTTATTCATTTTAAAAACTCTAATTTTGAAAAATTTGTCCTTTAATTGCAGACATTTGCAACATTTACATTTAATGTAATTATATGCATGGGTTCAAGTGAAATGTTTTGGAATTTGTTTTCTGTCATTCCCATCTCTTCTTTGTTCTGTTTTCCTCATTTGTTCTGCCTTTTTTCAGATTGATGTTTTTATTATTCTATTCTGTCTCTTTTGGTTATAAAGCATAACTCCTTTATAGTTATAGTGGTTATTTTAGGGGCTTACAGTACCCGTTGCTTACTTATCACACTCAAGTGATGGCATGCTGCTGCAACACAGTGTACTAAATATCACAGTGCCCATAGTATCAGCGCACAGCACCAAGCAGCTTTCTGCCACTCCTCACTTATTACTAGGACCTCACTATGGCACACTGCCTGTGGTGCAGTTTTGTAAGCATCCTACACACACACTTCTTCATTCATGTGGTACTTATTGTCATGTTTTTACTTAGGTAAAATTATAAGCCACATACTGCATTATTGGGTTTGATTAAAGGTCATATTGTAATTTTAAGGTTTTTTTTTTCTAGTTATCCATCTGGTTTCTACATTATTTACTAACATTTATTGAGCTTCTCTGGTTGTGAATTTGTTGGAAAAGCATTCATTCTGCCTTAACTTTTAGAATTTTTTTTGTGTGTGTGCAACTCCAGATTAATGTTATTTTTCTTCTGACACTTTAAGTTGTTGTTCTTAGCATTTTTTTTCCAGAAAGAATCTTGGCATCATTTTAACTGTTGGACATATCTTTTCCGTTGGCCATTTTGGGGTGTTCTCTTTATCCCTGGCTTTGAACTGCTTCACTATAATGTACTTGCGACTCACTTTGATGCAGTTCATTGATGTTTACTGAGGCAGAGCTTGGTTGAGCCTCTTGGATGCTCCATTTATAGTTATCATTACATTTGGAAACTGTGTGGCTATTACGTCTTCACATATTTCTTCTGTCTTCTTGTTCCTTCAGGGACTCCAGTTACACCGGTTACATGGCATGAAGATTCCCACAGCTTACAGGTTCTTCTCATTGTGAGGTTGTTTATCTGCCTGTTTTGCATAGTTTCTGTTACTACCCTCTCACTGTCTCTTTTGACTTCATGTCTCAGGCTGTATAATTTTCATCTTGGACATTAGAGGCTTCGCCTCTATAAATTTGATTTGTGTTTGTTTTTTAAATACCTTGGTTCCTTTTTCTTAACATTTGAACATGAAAGTTATAGTTAAAGTAACTAATTTAGTGCCTTTGTATGTTAAATGTGTTTGTTTCAGTTCTGACTGAATTTTCTCTTTCTTATGCACAAGGCATTGTGTCTTCCAAGCCTTTGAATGCCTAGAAATACTTGGGGGGAGGCATTTCCTTTCAATAATTACAAATATTTAATATATAAATGATTAAAGATAGATTTAGTTGACAGCTAACATTGCTTTCACTTTGCATAGTACACTATTTTGAAGTGTCTTTATTAAGAAGCAGTTCAGTCAAGCTCACAAACAAATGCATTCATTAATCACATAGCTATCATTTTGTGGTGATAATGCTTAGTATCTATTCTCTTCATAGTTTTCAATAATATGTATCATCATCAACATAGTTACCTTGCTGCACAATGGAGCTCCTGGGATTTATTCTTCATCTATCTGCATCTATACTTCAGGTATACACCCCAGATGCGTGCCCTGCATTTCGCTTCTTGCTTCTGTGAGATGTGTTTTCATGATGAGGTTTATCTTTCTGTGCTTGGCTTATTTCACTTAATATAAAGTCCTCCAGGCTTATCTCTACTTTCACTAATGTAGGAACAGAGGTTCTCTGTTCAGCCTTCTTCAGTTTGTTGATGTTAAGATACTACATAGTTTGTGTGTATTATGTCCCAAACCTAAACTAATGGTGCTTTTAAATGGATTTATTTCTTGAATAATGCAGAAAGTGAACAGAGCCACAAAATAGTGCTATTATATTAGTTTTTTTAGAATAATTAGGTTTTTAAAGGTATATAGATGTATATATGTATAACATATACATGCATACATACATAATAACATATATATGTTATATGTTATAACATATATATGTATATGTATATATAACATATATATGTATATATATATATATGCTATAATGTTTTTTTCGTCTTTTCTGAGCAGACATATTTGGTCATATACTAACATACGCGGTCACACATTAATTCTAATATTTTTTGAAAATTCTAGTGTTTAATGTCTGGCTTCAAAAAGGGGAAAAACGAAGAGGAAGGGGATATTAATGCCCTCTCCCCCTCACGGAGTGTTCTTCCAATGGAGGGGAGGCCCTGTCCCTCTAGGAGAAGCTACAGCAGCAATGATCGTCTTTCTTTGTGATCAGAAGTAGTTCCTAGAAATCTGACCACAAGTGATGAAACTGTGGAGGGAAGTGTCCCTTTAATCTGCCTGGACTCATCGAAGGTGTGTGCAAGTCACTTCTGGAGCACACAAAGAGACCTCTGCCATGGAACTACAGAGAGGGGGTGAGTGGTTGCCCTGGTGCTCTGAGCAGAAATCGACTAAACATCACCTCTTAGCCTCCTTGGAACTTGCAACCCTCCCGCTGTTTCTAGGGTTTGAAAATCTTTACACCAGGCAGATTCTGATAGGTTGAGGTGAGAGATAGGTTCCTGATGCTTTCTACCCACCATGCTTCTATCCAATTAATGTTGGCTTTGACATACACTAGGTATAATTCCCATTGTGCCATTTTTGTATCGCTGATGAGTCCCTGAAGAAATACCCAATCCCCTCATGCATTATATATTGTTATTTGCCTCTAAAAATCTAAGTATCTTCATAACACTTGTTCTAAGTCCTTATCTGCCAGTTCTAATCATCATGTCTCTTTTGCTGTGTTTTCTCTTATGATTGGTTGCTTCCTCAGATGACATTTTTTTACTTTTTTTAAATTTTATTTTATTCATTATGTATACAACATTCTGCTTCCATGTGTATCTGCACACCAGAAGAGGGCACTAGATCTCATAACAGATGGTTGTGAGCTACCATGTGGTTGCTGTGAATTGAACTCAGGACCTCTGGAAGAACAGTCAGTGCTCTTAACCTCTGAGCTATCTCTCCAGCCCCAGATGACATATTTTTATTGTGTTCTACATGTCATATATGAAACTGGGGACTCTTTCCCCAGATGAAGCCACCTTATTACCCCTGGCTGCTGCAGTGTCTGATCATTTCCCTGTTCCGGTTGAGATGGGGCTGGGTCACAGCAGTAACTGGATTGAATTAATCTGCGTTTGACACTCAACCTCCTACTCTTAAGCTCTTGCATTAAAAAAAAATCAAGTTGGGAAGTAGTGTCCATAGCTTCAGACAGTTTGGTTTGCTTTTTAGTTCAGCTCTTTGTTAGGTGTGAGAATCTTTTTTATCATGAAGCCATTTATGCTATTCACAAATATCTTCTTCGTTTCTGATATACTGACAAACTTTGGGAGAGGGAATTTCAAAGTAGGAAAATATCTGGCTTGAAGGGTCCATCCTTGTGTTTGAAATGGGTGCCAGAGCCGGGCGGAGTTCCCAGGTCCTCTGTCACTGCATCTATGACAGATGTACTTGTGTTTTGATGGGGCCCTGTCCCTGACATGTAGAGGGATCATCATGATTTCTTTTCATCTATTATTTCTTACTAGTATCAAGAAAAGTATTATTTCAGCCAGGAGGTTCTGTACAGGCTGCTGAGGGAGAAAAGACATTAATGATCTTACCTTACAGGCACCTGCATGCAACAAGACTGACATGCTAGCAAGAAGTCTCCACTGGGGCAATAGTGGCACAATGGTAAGGGACAACCAACCACTTTCTGGTTGGCCATGAGACCAATAAGAAATAAAATCTCTCTAGGAGGGATTTTATACCTGCTATTGTAAACCTGTTCAAAAGCTCATCTGTAGAGCTAGTGTAGAGCCTAGGGAGAACACTATTATTACAATTTTGCTAAATTATCATGCTGTCAAACTAAATTATACATAATTATGATTATGACTGTGTGATTAGATTTGTGCCAGTCTAACCTTGGTCAGAGAAGCTTCTTTTTGCAACGGGTGTGGTTAATTAAGAGTAGGTGGTAGCATAACATGTCTTTAATCCCAGCACTCAGGAGGCAGAGGCAGGCAGATATCTGAGTTTAGGGCCAGCCTGGTCTACAGAGACAGCCCTGGCTGTCCTGGAACACAGAGAATCCCTGTCTCGAAAAACAAATCAATCAATCAATCAATCAAACAAACAAACAAACAAACAAAGAGTCTATGACTGGTCAGAATGCTGGGAGCTCTCAGATGGGTTATCTATATCAACTTCCTAAAATCCAAGGCCAGGAGGCATCATAGAAGTGAGTGAGGAAAGGATGTAAGATCTGGAAGATAAGGGGAGCAATGAAATGTTGATTTCTGGGCATGGCAGTGCTGTTTTACATGTCAGTTCACGGCAGCTGCCCTTGCCCGCACAAGATCTGCACCAGGGCCAAGTCAGTCAGAACTCCAGCCTGGATGAACCCTCCCTCACTGGTAGTGGGGGTGGGTACTGAGAGAGGCAACTGCTTTCCTTTGGGGATGTGGCCACCCGTAAGTGGCTTGTCTTCCAGTGGACAGCCACACATCACATGCATATGGGCAAAAGCAACTTGGCTCAGGGGGTTTTAAATAACTAAAACAAAAGATAAAAAGGGGACATGAAGTTGGGAGGAAGATGGGATGGGAGGATTAGGGGAAGATGGAGGGAGGTAACAGTGGGTGCGGATGATGAATGTACACTGCATAAACATATAAAACTTTCAAAGAATAAAAATATATTACTGAAAGAAAAGTGTGGTTTTAATTTTTTTACAGGTTTCTCTTTCTGCTCTCACAGAGCCAAGCTTTTTTTTTTTTTTTCCTAAGTGGAAATGAGAGGCCACACGTGTGGTCCTCTACATGTTGGGCTTTCCTGACTCTTCTCATGCAGTCACATTTTGTGTGCTTTATGCTTTTTGGCTGAAGGGGTCATCAGCCCCAGATGCTCTTTGGGGCCTCAGCTGAAAGGCGAATTCTTCTCGGGGTCTTCTCTGCGCTCTCTGGGCATCAGGCAAGATCACTACAGACCAATTAGCTTAATTCTTCTTGGAATCTACTGTGAGCTCTCTGGGCACCATGCAATTTTTGCTTTAGGGATTTCAAGTTTCATAAGTCATTTAAATTCATCCCCATGTACCTGTGAGGACAGACATATGGTTAGAGATTCTCATGGGAGATCTTGCCCTTCCCCCAAATACATTCAAAGTCAAGCATGGCAGAGACGATGATGTACAAAGTGTTCTGTGTGGGCATCTCAGCTGAGGTTCCTGGCCTCCAGCAGGCTCCAGGTTTGGCCTCTGTCTCCAGATGTGTAGCCTTTTCAAAGCCAAGCACTGGCTCTAGAGACTCATAGGAGGCCTTGGGGACAAGCACAGACAGAACCAGTGTTCATCTTTATGGCACAAGGGCTCTGCATATTCTCTGAGGTTTACTTTCATCCCTTCCACTATCTTGTCTACTATGATTAAGCAGAGTTTTGTTTTGTTTTGTTTTGTTTTAAAATCAATTTATCCCACATTTCTAGGTACCACACCGAGGGGCTGGCTTAGTGCGGCTATTATTTCTTTTGTATTTTTTCATATTTTTTGAGGCAAATCCTGTAGGCTCAGGAGTCTCTAAGTCACACACAGAGGGCTTTGCATCTCTGCTTTAGCCCAGTATGTGTTGATCTTGTTCAAAGTCCCAGAAGCAGCTTTATAGGCTGGTTGCCTTACTTTATCATTTAGGTTCTTAAGGGACCCATCATGACCCCTCCAACACCAACACCATCCCTTCTCAGTGTAACCTCACTGGGCCGTACCCTGGGATGTTTTAGATCACTAGAGAGGAGAGGGGCTGTGGTTTTGGAACCCAATGATGTTGAGGTTCCTAAGTATGGAATTTAACACCACCATTCCCCTCTGCCATATCGTTTCCAGCCCCAAAGAGGAACAGCCTCTGCCATCCATACTCTACCTACAGCCCTTAGCTTTTCTCTTTTGGGTGACCCCCATCCCTACCCCCCATCAAAGGTTTCCTGGGAACAAGGCAGCAGTGAAACAAAGCTGGTTGGAAGAGAGGCTGAGACTCATTCTGTGATCCCCTTGGCACAAGTGCATCAGCGCCCTCCTGAGGGAACTGACAGGAATCCTTGCTCCTCTCCAGAGAGACAGTGACACTCCTGGGCCTGGCAGGAAATGGAGCCAGCCATTCCACCACTCAAAACCCCAGGCGTGACACTGTTCCATGTGTCACGAGGCACGTCCAGACCCCAGATCTTGATTTGCACTTCCACACTGCTGCAACAGGAGCGAAGACTGGGAAGTATGACAGGTCAGGTTGGGAGTAGCCTCAGGAATTGTCCTGAGCACTCGGAACCCTTACTCTTCATCTTCTCTCATCCTGATAACTGTGATGGCATCACGTCTCTTCCAGCCTCCAATCCTTACCCCTCCACCCATCTACCAACTAAGCAGGCAATTTAAAAGGCAACTTTCTCCCTGTTGCTCCCCTGGTATATAGACTTCAGTGGTTCCCTAGTGCCTTCCAGACAATCCTGAAAAGTTTTCTAATTCCAGCTCATCTTGTCACGACTTTTCCTCCTATTCTTCATTCCTGTCACTGGGTTTTATTCTCTTAAACATTTGTGTCCCAAGCTCGCTCTCTCTCTCTCTCTCTCTCTCTCTCTCTCTCTCTCTCTCTCCCCCTCTCCCTCCCCTCCCCCCCCCCCCCCCCCTCCCCTCTCCCCT